GAGAGAGAGGGAGGCAGTGTGGGCTAGTGGTTAGAGCAGAAAAATGAGAGACAGGAGGGAGGAAGGGAGGCAGCGGATGAGTAGTTAGAGTTGTGGATCTGTGCCTCTACACTTATGCAATATTCCCATTAATTTTATTTCAAGATCATACAGATGTCAGCCCATTAACTATAATTACGCAGTTGTCCTATTTTTAGTAGGATGATACAGATGGGATGAGGTAAATGGAGGACCTGTTAGTAAAACATCAATCAAACCCTTTTTTTCTTTAGTAATGATCTAGTTCTTTCATTTAAGAACTATTTGTGTCACATCTGAGATTGTACTGTACCCACACTGCAGATCCACAGACCTGAGGGGTAAATGGTTTTCTGCTCCACCAGGGCATTCCTGTAACTCTGCAATGAGCAAGAGACCTGCATCTCTCTATCACTTGTTGGGCTTCACAGCGACTCTGGTCCAATCAGTCTCTCGCATCAAGAGCACTAAGTTCATCGCTGCTTTTCCTCCTGCTGGTTCTCAGCTTCCCACTCTCATCATCGGTGTCTCTCTGACACGCCCCAGATCAGCTGCTGACTATGCGAGCTAGGTGAGGCTTGGCCGAGACATCAGCCCAACACATCCGGTCTCTACTGAAGATTTGCGATCAATTATCTTTCTCTGTTCGGATGAACGAAGTGCTAATCAACAGGGCTTGGCTCTACACCACCTGTAGCTCATGGACAAGGAGCCTGTGTGTAGGCTCTTCTCCAAGATGTCCGCCTGTCAGTCTTTCAACATTTGACCTGCTCACTGAGTTTGGCATCAGGAGGGTACCCCTAAGTCAAGTATACTGTATAAGCCACTGCAAGCTTGTGTGTGATCTGCGGGTCCCAGGGGGTTGATAGTAAGCAGCAAGCAGAGAACCTGCTGCCACTGGCCAGGGAAGTCTGCCACGTCTTACCGGTGTCCACCCAGTAGTGGCCTGCTGGTGCCATGCCCCAGACTTAAGCTGGCGACACCAGCGCTACAAGGCCTGTGTTTCCAGGGGCACCTGAATGACAAATCTGGCAATACAATGATTTTGTTACTTGGTCACAATGAACAAAGGAGGAACACATGCAATATCAGTGATGTGCAGGGGGCATAAGAGTCTGGGCTTTCAGTGTCTTGCATGGGAACTCAGTGCACCCACAGAAATGGGTGCACAAACGACGCCGGTCACTGCGGTCTTGTTCAGACAGTGCACCCACAGAAATCCGATGCATGAGGCCAGTCACTGCAGTCTTGGCACAGCCCTTTTCCGACGATCATTATTCCATGTGAGTTATGAGATCTGAAGACGGCATGAGTACCACATATCATTCATCAAAAGGAGTTCAATCAATTCTAATATCCCTAAATTAATGGGAGCAGTATATCTCTTTAAAGCAGCCTCTTGTCTTTCCAATGAGAGTGAAACAGATAAGAAGATGGGATTTTTTGCCCTTCTTGCTCTTATCACAATCAGTAATTCCACTTGTAGATAATGTTTTCGTTACACCCACATCTTTGAAAATCAATACTCGTCCCAGACCCTTAATGGGGAAAAGTATCATTGTTTTAAAACAACTTATTACTCGTAGGTGATGCAACGTGCAAGTGATAAATCTGTAGATTGGTAAATTAAGAAGGCTGGACATGCTGATATCACAGAGCAAGCAGCAATCTTGAATTAGCTGGTCACAATGTGTCCTGCAGCAGTTTTCCTTGGCTTGGGTAAGGTCAGACGGAGACTGAGAGGAGGCAAAATTGATAGCTCACCATGTAGGAAATTAGTCCACTGGATTCCCCATTTCCATTTGGTTTTACCTGTAGGTGTAAACGAGCTGATTGACTGAACAGCTTCGGTCAATGGAATTGATTCATGATTCCTGCCTCACTCTCTAGCAGAGATCTTTCCCTTCTCTGTTAGACAGTGGCTGGTCTCTGGGTGGCACACAGTGTGGTTTAAAGTAGGATGAGACCAGCATGGAAGTGGTTCTTTAAAATAAAGGTCTCCCGATGAAGAACGTACTTACACCTCAGCAGGAAAAAATAGCTTTGGATTTGAATTCTGTAGGTTAAAACGAACTGGGGATTTGACGTTTCATGGATGCTGATCACTAGATTTAGGGCTCAAGGAATGTTTGTTTGGGGAAAAAACTGAACATTTCCATCAAAAAATGCCCTAGGCTGCAGCATTTGTTAGCGTGATGGAGATTTGTAAATGGTGGAGACCCTCGTTTTTACTAACTTTGTATTAAATTAGAAGAACAGGCCATGTGCTTTTAATAGCTGGTTTGGTTTTTTGGTAGCTAACTGATCCAAGGATCTTGTCCAGCTGTTTCTGGAAAGAAACCAGGACATCGATGACGCAGCTGGGCGGCTTGTTCCGAACATTCACCATCGTGTGTCAGGAATCAGTGGCCTCATGTTCCCAGTTATAGGAGCAGTTGGAGATGCAGTGCCTCCATGTTGTGCCCAGTGAACTGCCGCCCCTGTCTCTGCTGCTGTTTATGTAGTTCTAATCGAACCGCAGTTTTGTAGTCTGCACAAGTCAGGCTTATTAGTGGCTACGCAATTTAATTTGGAAAAGAAAATGAGCAACAAATGCGGTTAAAAGCAGTCTGAGCTCACTGGCGTGTTGTCAACCTGGGGGAATACTCACACAGACAAGGGACAGGGTTCGCCACTGTGGCGTTATAGGAAAAGCTTCTGTGAGCTCCAGTCTGTTAACAGCGATAAAATGGGCCAGTGGGTAGACAGAGCCGGGTGAGGAAGAGGAGGGCAGAGTGAGGAAGAGGAGGGCAGTGTGGGCCAGTGGGTAGACAGAGCAGGGTGAGGAAGAGGAGGGCAGTGTGGGCCAGTGCGTAGACGGAGCAGGGTGAGGAAGAGGAGGGCAGGGTGAGGAAGAGGAGGGCAGTGCGGGCCAGTGGGTAGAAGGAGCAAGGCGAGGAAGAGGAGGGCAGTGTGGGCCGGTGGGTAGACAGAGCAGGGTGAAGAAGAGGAGGGCAGTGTTGGCCGGTGGGTAGACGGAGCAGGGTGAGGAAGAGGAGGGCAGTGTGGGCCAGTGGTTAGAGCACAAAGAGAGGAAGAGGAGGGCAGTGCTGGCTAGTTAAGCAGGGTTTTGAGATGTATAGTTCAACAGCCCAGATACAATATTCTAGATTTTGATTTCTTTGTAGTTTTTTAGTAAACCAGTAAGGCAGCTAGTAAATCAAACACATGTGCATACATACATCACTCCCCCCAGCCTCCTTCAAACCAGCATGCCAGCTCTGTGATCTCTCTTCCTTCCTTGAAGACAGGTTTTTGAGGCTCCCCTGCTACTTTCTCTGCTGTGGAGAAAAGAGGGTCTTAACTAAGAAAAAGACTCAGATCTCTTTTCTGAAAGATGGAGGACTATACCATCTACAGATCATAAGCGCACAGCAAAGTCTTTATAACGTATTTGCTGACAGATTTTCTCAAGCTCTTCTTACATGAAACTATTTCTAAAGCATGAAAAACACAGTTTGGTTTGTTCTGGAATGGTTACTTGGAATCAGTACCTCCCAGGAGTCTGAAATGCTCCCCAGTCGACTATAAGGGTCTGATAGTACTGAAGCACTGTAGTAATTTTGTGAGCCCCGAACATCAACGTGCTTTTTCACTTTTGTATACGTCTGTTATCCCACTCAGTCTTTGTGCACTCCTGATCTCGGATGATTAGACCATCAGAAGACAAGTTACACGTGAGAGAGAGCCCCAGAGGGTATACTGGTTGCTATTAGCCATACAGCTGTGTAGCTTGTTCCATACTTCCACAACCCTTTGTGTAAAGCACCTCCACCCAGTTATCGTTTGTGCCCTCTGGTTCGTGTCCACTGGGCTGACAGTGTCAACGCCTTTTGATTTGGAATAATTGAATCTAGTCCCTCCATAGTCTTCTTTGTTCAAGAGTAATAAAAAGTTCAGTTCTTCGAGACTTGCAGTGACAGACATCCCTTTAAGCCGTGGAATGGATCTGGTTTCTCCTATTTTAACCAGTTCCAGAGCAGCAATATGTTCTTATAAGTTCCAGACCATCAATTTACATATTATTCTAGGTCTTATTCATCTGTTGTACCATTAAACTTGTCTAGAAGACAGAAATAATGTATCATTCTAAGTGTCACTCTGTAAGTATATACTGTATAACGTTTTACTGTATCACTATATTTATAGTTGCTTTAGACTTTTTGATTAAACATTGTATGCCAGGAGTTGGCCCAGTCTTGAATTCTGCATGAATCGTTAGAATTTGCTTTGCACTATTTACTATGCTATGATCTGCAGATTTAACTAGCTTGCTAGCTACATCAACATTTACATTATTGAAATAAACTACAAAGAGTAGTAAAACCTAATACAGATCCCTGTGGTACCCCACTAATTATATCGCACCAATATGAGCTATCACTCCTCATCTGTGCTGTTTTCTTTCAATTATTTGCCAGTTCAGATCAAAGACATGCATTACTGTGCCTACAGTCTGCAGTTTGAGATTTAATATTTCATGAATGAGTTCATCAAAAGCTTTCTGTAGATCTAAATATGCTATATTATGTGCTGTTTAATTGCTCCTGTTTTGCCTTCAAAGAACTTCAACAAATTAGTAGTTAAGTGTGACCCATCATTTTGAAAAGTACTCTGTTCTCTAGAATCCTGTTGCCCTCAAAAAACTATTCTCTTAACTTAATTCAAATGATTATTTCCTTGTTCTTGCACGTGGTAGAATAACAGATTCCTGGACTACACACGTTTGGTTTGGTTTGGTTTGGTTTTATCACCTATTTTAGAGATGTGTTTTCCATGAGTGAATTTGCAGTCAGTGGGTATTTCCCGCTGCTGGAACAGTTTTGAGCTCGAAGAATAAATCAATCAACAGATCGACTGGGTTTTTGCAGCCACAGCAGTTTTATATGCACAACAAATGAAAACTAGTGAAGCAATGTGGTGTGTGTATTGTGACTTGAATACAGTGGTCATATTCTCTGTACAATCTGTATGCGGTATCAGTGCTCTCTGCAGGGTCTCTGCACAGTATCGGTGCTCTCTGAGGGGCCTGTGCACAGTATCGGTGCTCTCTGAGGGGCCTGTGCACAGTATCGGTGCTCTCTGAGGGGACCGTGCACAGTATCGGTGCTCTCTACAGGGACTCTGTGCAGTATTGGTGCTCTCTGCAGGGTCTCTGTGGACAGTATCGGTGCTCTCTGCAGGTTCTGTGGACAGTATTGGTGCTCTCTGAGGGGCCTGTGCACAGTATCGGTGCTCTCTACAGGGTCTCTGTGCAGTATTGGTGCTCTCTGCAGGGTCTCTGTGCAGTATTGGTGCTCTCTACAGGGTCTCTGTGCAGTATCGGTGCTCTCTACAGGGTCTCTGTGCA